GGGGGAGGGAGCAGAGCCACCGAAGTTCCCATCCTGCGACCTTCAGATGACACGCCTACCCCCAAGCAGAGAGAGAGAGCTACGCCACGGAGAGGGATGGACTCTGTGCGTGGAAAGCGCCTGTCTGAGAACTCGCCTTGCACGGTTACTGGCGAGAACTGAAATGCTGATGCGGGAAAACGGACCAGTCATTTCGGAAAAGGGAGAATCATCTCAGTCCTTCCCCACAGAGCTCAGGTCGGACGCCGCCGCCTTCCGCTGCTGGCCCCGACTGTCCAGATGCCTCGCGCCTATCGTGCGAGGCGGGCTGCTCATCACGCCTCCTACAGCTTCTCAGAGCAGAATCCGGCTCCAACGTGTCTCCGATCCCCCGCCCCTTGACCTCACATATTTATTGAATGACCTCACCAGAGAATGTCAAGAGGAACCATTCTGAGATGCTGGATGAAGAAACTGTGCTTGAGAATCACTGGGACCTTTTGGATGAAAAGCTAAGGCCCCGTTTTGGGGACACCCTGGGAACTGCAGCTTCTCCAGAGCCACGTGGCTCTGCGAACCGAGCAGACGTGCTTCCAGTTTCCACCGGGTGGGAAACCCGAGACCCCTCCCCGGAAGCTGCTGGGCCACATTTGTTAAATGCCGAGTATTTCTGTGCCACCTCCAGGGCCCACCAAGAATCATCAGAACACCAGAAATCAGGCAACTCACGTCTGTGCTTAGAGCACTGAGCTCCTGACCCCTCAAAACCAAACCCAACGCCCATAGCTAAGTTCAGTGTTTCGGTCACTTTTGCCTGTAATAGTGCTCACAATGTTTTGAAACGCCTTTAAGGATCTGTTCTTAAGACTTCTACATAGGGATGTTTTTGGATAAACTCCCATAAGCATCTGGGGAAGGCACACGGCACGGGCAATAGAATTTGATATACCGGGTTCATGTACTGGACCCATCAGTAACAAGCCTCCACTTCCTCTGTTAAACTGGGATAACAGCGTCACCTACCCCACAACGGGCAGCCTGAAGGAGAACACGAGATAAAAAATGCGAAACGCTTAGAAGAGCCCTTGGCACTCAGAAAACGCACAAGAAACGGTGGCTTCATCGTCCTCACCGCCAACATCATTGTCATTTTATGGGACAACGTGAGTCCTAAGGACCACAAGACAACACGCAATAAAATCAAGTCCCTTGAGTCATTCGGATGTCACCGAGAGGGTCGCTGCATGGGGGAGAGGGGAGAAAGGCTCAGCCGATATCTTACTGCAGGGAAATGTTTGCAGACATCGATGTGACAGCAGACCCAAGACAAAACAGGTTGGTAGAAAAAAATCCGCCTGTACCCCAAATCCACCTGTTCGACTTCCGACCCGTTATGCGGACGGAGGCAGCTCTCCGGCAGCAGGAGAGCAGCTGATTAGCACGCCACGTGGCCTACCTCCTCCCCCAGGCTTGCTGGGTCCTCCTGGTGACAGCGGGCCATTGCCAAAGCTGGTAAGGCTCTCTCTTCTTCCCGAAGGTCTGATGTTTCCATAGTAACGGTTGACCAAAATTTGCCTGAGCGCCTCACCCTTAATTCAAACAGGAGAATGAAATCAGGTTCTGAATTTAATGCACGACCGAGTGACTAATATTCAGAAAGCAAAGGGGTACTCAGGTATCACTGGCTCAGTGTCACTCGGCGAGAAAACAAATGATTAATTTAAAAAAGCGTTTGGGAACTCTAAAAGTTAACTTCAATATTTTCTCAGGAAACTAGATCATAAAAAAGCAGAGATCTAGAATATCGACTGTCTGAAGCACTCTCTCACACAGCGATAAAGACAAAAAACAGTAATTTTGCAGGGCAACTAACAATAGCGAAAGCAAACAAAAAAGTCCCTGTACAGTAAGCCAATAAAAGTTGGACAAATTGAAGATCTTACAGGTCGCTTTCCACAAAGCAATATAAAAATGTTACTGAAGCACAGGGCTTATTCCCAGGATCCGATGAAAACATTAAGGTACCCTGAGTAAGAAACTATAATCAAATGATAAGCTGAAAACAAGGCTTTCTTACACAGAGTCGATGGGCCAAGTGGTGAAAAAAAAAATTATGCCATACAAAAGAAATTCGTGACCGACATCAGCTATGTCAATCAAAAAATAAGCATCGTGAAAGAAATAACCCTTGCGATTTGCTTTGAAACATGCGAGGCGGGGAACAGGGAGGGGCACGGATGAGACCGGAGTGGGCATGAGTTGGTAGAGTCGTGAATGAGGCTTCTCGAAACTCTTCTGATGCCGTTTGCGTAGATTTGAATAGTTCCCTCACAAAAAGTTTAAAAACTATAAATATCAAAGTAATTGTGGACGGGAGCGATAGTAACTCCTTCCCACAACCGAAAAAGCACAAAACTTTGATGTGCTGTCTAAGCCCGGGGCGTTGGCAAAGCGGCACCAAGCAGCAGGATGTCCTCAGCTCTACCTGACTTGCAGTCACGCTCGGAGACTCCAGACCACCTCCCAGTCTGGAAGCTTCTAAGAGCCAGAGGCCGTGCGGATTCCCAGGGACAAAGCCGGAAGGCATGGCCTTCCTCTGGTCCCTCACGGAGAGGGGCGAGTGAGGAGCCTGGCAGAGAGGAAGGTGTCGAAACAGAGGTCTCTCAGCTGAGACTCTGCGGCCCTTCCGAGAGGCCTGCAACCCTGACGTGAGTCTTTAGAATTTTAAGTGACTTGTTAATAAGCTCCCAGAACAGGTCTGGAGATGTCCAGCTGCGGGAGGGGTGCCCTGAGGGCGGCGGGGAGGCCAGGGGCACCCCTTAAGGTCCCAGGACCACATTGCTAGGTTTTCTCTTTTATTAATCCATGCTGCTAGTCAAAGACTCCAGGGACAAACTGAGATGGGGTACACAGGAGAGGAGGGAGTCGGGGGTGGGCAAGGGGAGTACTAATTTTTAAATAAAAGTTTAGGGAATAAAAAAAGAAAATCTCAATTTCCCCCTCTCCATCTCCATCTCTTGCTGCAAAGGAGGGAGCTTCTATTGGCTCAGGAAATGCATTCGCTTCCTCGAGCAACTGCAAATTCAAAATTCTGACGGCGCTTCCAAAGGAGAGGCTGTTTGTGATGTTTCCAAGTGCTTTTTAAATCAACTGCTTCCAGAACAATATCCTTTAATGGCCTAGAAAACCACATCTTGGTATAAAGACAACACTCTGGTCAAACCCTCCAAAGCCGGCCCCGAAAGCACGGTGACTTAGAAGGACGACTTCGTTAAAAGAATCACTAATTTCAAAGGAACATTCAAGAAAGCCTATGAGAGAGAGAAAAGGGGAAAGGAAATGTTACCTCCACGTTGACGGTAACAGGAGATTAAACGCAATTTCCCTTTTCACGCTCGTGAAGCATCTACCTGACGGTCTTTCAATGAGAAACAGACTCCGCGCTCCCACGAGAGGGAGGCTGGAGAAACCCTTCCTGACTCTCACTGGATCCCCGCGGCCCAGGGGAACACGGTTCGGGAGGCGGACGGCCGGTCTGACGTGGGGAAGCTGCAGCCACAGCAGAAGGCCAGTGCGGCCGGCACAGCAGGGATCTGGGGTGTCACGGGGCTGAAGGGTCAGGGTGACTGTGACCAGCCCCCACACACACACACACACACACCCCCTGCAGGGACAGCAGGCAGAGCCTCAGCACTGCAGGTCCACGGGGGCGGGGCCGGAGCCACACAGACTCCCTGCTCCCCGCGGTCTGGAGGGGCGCGGGCGAGCCCCCGGACAGTCTGCCGTCAAGGAAGCAGGAGGTGGGGGAAGGGTCACGTGCCATCGGCAACACGCAGAGGTGAGGGACCGGCAGCTGGGTGCCAAAAACAAGTCACACAGGGCGCTTGCAGAACCATTCTGCCTGTCCTTCCACAGAAAAACCCTCGCGGTTACCATGGCAACCGATGCATCCAATGGTGCCCTTTTCCCCATAACAGGATCTTATGAAATGTACTCATGGAAAACGCACGCGCGCACGCATATGCACGCATGCACACACGCACACGCACCGCACACACTCCACTCCACAAACTTTTGTTTTTTTTCCCTCTTAATATAAGGTTTTTAGCGCATATTCCTGTTACCTTCTCTACACAGACACACACACACACACACAACCCTGCAAGGGGCAAAAAAAACAAGTAGCATGTGGGATTTTTAAAAAACAAATCAAAACAACATGAGATTTATTCCTTTTCTGAAAGAAGACAGAATTTTTGGTAAAAGGGGACAGAAAAAGGAAACGGATAAGCATTATTCAAAGTTACACAAACGCCTAATGTGAAAACTTAGGTTCGAGGAGAATTCTGCTTTCCTGAGGCAGTGGATTCATGCAGGGAACACTCGGATCTGCAGAGGGGAGCATTCCCGATCGCCCCGAAATAAACTCCTCAAGGGCACCGAGCGGTTCCTGGCGCGCCAGGCCAAGAGACCCGGCTGCAGAGAAGGGAGGAGAAAATGACCTCCCAAACGGCGTCACCCCCTCGCCTGTCGCCTCTGGCCACGTGACCCTTGTGAAAAAATACTGCTAGTTTTTTTTTCCAGCAGCTGACACCTACAGCGTGCAAACAAACATCAGATGTTTGTCTCTGGTAAGAAATTCCACACACGTCATCTCCCCTGAGACTGAGAAGAGGCGGCGTTTCATTCACACCGAGTGTCATGTTAAAACGCGGACGGGAAGTCACGAAACCAGGGGCCACCTTGCAGCTGGGGGCCTCCGAGTTTCGCTTCTACCGGTGAAACCGGTGGCTAACGCCATGTGGGGAATGCAGGTGGGAGCCCCACGAGGCGCTCGGGTGCGAACAGCGCCACACGCAAAGCAGAGAAAAAGTGACCTTTTGGCTTCCCAAGTGCCAGCCACTGAGAAAGCCTGTGCTTCAAGAAAGGCCGCGGTCTCACGTGAGACCTCTGTCGACAGTAGGGTGGGGCCTCGACTTAAAAATACCCTTCCTCTTCCTATCCGTGTCCACCAAACCACCGAAGCGTCTCCATTTGCAAGGGGGCAACAGCTGTGACAGCTGCCAGATCTTATGACAGTCCTGCGGCCGCTGTGCTGAGTGCTTCACAGCTCTGAAGAACGCTCCTAAGGGATGGAGACTGTCACTGACCCCACGTCATGACAGGAGAAACGGGGGCCCAGGGGGGTGGACTAACCTGCCCGCATCTCACGGGCAGGGCCTGGCAAAGGGGCACTAGAACCCGCCTCTAACTCCGCAGCTCGTGCGCCCAGGCAGCGGTCAGTGCCTTGTCTCCGGGAGCTTAGGGCACGAGGGAGCAGCTACTTCTGACACCTAGGGCAGGCGAGGACAGAAAGTCCACGAGTGCCAAGTGTCCCTGGTCCCTGAACTGTGGCACATGAGGGATGCTGGAGGGAAGGGCTAAGGGCCAAGTTCTGGGGAGCTACTCTCTGGTCAGCACCTGTGAGGAAATCACGAGAGAGCACACGGGGTTCGGGACGGGGCCGGGCTGGGCAGGGGCCGGGCTGTGGGCGCGGAGCTCCTGGCCACCCACTCATCTTGCACTTACATCCTCCAGGACACTGACGGCCACATCGCCGAGGTCTTCGCAATGACTGCTCATTTCCTATCCCCCTGACCTCACCTCCCCTCTCCGAATGTTCCCTAACTTGTGACGGGGGGACGGAGGCCCCGTCCCTGGGTCGATGTCGGCAGTAACAAAGCGGACGGGGTAACACGTGGAGAAGTCTTAGCACGGCAATCGGCACACGATAATTCAGCACACAGAAAACCGGGCCGTCTGCTTTTCCCAAAAATGGGCAAGTGAGACGGGTGGTCAGCGTGCCGGTGACGTGCACGGCCTGCTGGAGGACGGCCTGGCAACCCTGCCGTCTGGCCTAGACTCCCCTTCCAGCAGCCTCTCCAGAGACACACACTTGTTCACTTCCTGTCGAAGGGCGTCATTACGAACCACTCGGGCATCTGTGGAACGTTAGGCAGCTGTTGACTTTCGGAGATTTTCAGAGTGTGCTCGGGCGTGACCACGCGTGACAGGACTCGCACGCCGGGAGCAGTCCCGAGGACGGCGAGCATGCGTGGCGGCGCGCACCCTCACGTGTGCGGGGGGCACGGGCGCACGGAAACAGCTCATCGCTGGCGCTCGTGCCCATGAGCATCTCGGTCGTTACGCTTTTAACATAAATCACGCGTAATGATCGTCAGTTACTCACAGAGAAAAGAAGAAGAAAACTAAGAAAATCTCCAGCGCAGAAGAGCGGGCCAGACAAGCTGGCCTGGTCAGCGTCTGGGGACCGGCCGGGTGTGGGGCTCTGAGCGGGTGGGGGACAGGTGGACCGGCCGGTGAGCTTGATTTATATGAATGGCTGTGATCGGGCCTGAGCTAGTTAACGCTTCAACAATAGCAACAATGACGAAAGTGGCCGGGGGGCTCCCGGCACCCCGGACTACGTACCCGTTTATGGTCTTCCAGCTGCCTCAGGGGTGGACTCGGCTCCTGCTCCTGCCGGGCACGCAGAAATTCCACTTTAAGCGCACACTACGAAGACGCCGCCAGCTTCGGCATCAGTCGC